TCCATGGTCCATATCCCAATTTTGGAAAAATATCTATTTTCCCATATCTTCGTAAATTATGTTTATGATGTTGGCCACAAAGAAGGTGAAGCGGCAATGCAGCTAAAAAAAAATTAGGAAAAATAAAGCTACTAGTACTGTGGAGTTGCCAACCTAAGCAGGACCGGGAACAACAGGCGCAAGAAAGCAAGAGGGAAAGAAAGCATCGGGCCTGACTATGTTTCACCCGAGTGGCTATGCAAATGTATCTATATTAATAGCGCCACACTAGCGCCAAGCTGCAGGAAAGCGATAGCACTCCGCCTTCTAATAAAATCTAAAATGCACCACTGTCCAAGTATTTATGTCCTTCGGACTTAAAAGTTCCTTATAGGCATTTTTGAGCAGATCTCATATCCAGATTTTATCAAGGATTATTTCAAATCCGCTACCATTATCACCACCACCCGTCTAATTACCTCACCCATCCCCACCATCACCACAAACATGACATCAGCATCATCTCACCATGAGCAGGAATAAAAAATCACTCTGTGAACTAAAAAATAATAATGGAATTGAAAAAATCGAGCGCCGGGAACCCAAAAACACGGTGGGAACAAAAAAACACCATCCAGGAACCTTAAAAAAGCATTCTGGGACTGAAAGCACCAATCTGGGAACTAGAAACACCCATGGCCCAACCTGCAATGGTACACCAAAAATTACTGAATACAAAGAAACTAGCCCTCTGAGGTGCTTACAACAAGTCCAAGAGCTACATTTGCATTATAGGGCGGAGCTTCATATAATACTTGTTTTTAACAAATGTATAAATATATTGGATAGACAATGTCTATGTTAACATTTCAATTCAATGCACTATACAAAATATAAAGTGTCATTTTCACGACAATGGCCATCAATAATCTGTACAGAGACGGACCATTTATTGTTTGTTTTTGATATGTCAAGTAATTTCAGGGATATCTAAGATCTTATGTACAAGTCATTCTGCAGCCTCGCAGCCAGCGTCCGTCATTTGCTTGATTGCACTCTGATGTCTGTTTGCACATGATGTCATCTTTGAAACCAATCTTCCCTGCAGTCACTCTCTGCCTCAGCCTCAGCTTGTACCAAGCTGCCATGCTCGCGGTGCCTTGGCATTCTTGGCGGTCTCTCCCTCAACCGAAGGAGATCTAGTTACAGTACATACAATGGAGAAGTGGCATGCCGGAGCAACATGCCCATTGTGAACTTGGCCAGACCACAATCAACAAATACCTACTGCTTCAAATTCTTAATATGGAAGCTGGTTCCAGTTCTTTTCATTGGCTGTCCAGATATAAAGACACATTTGCTCTGGCGGGGGGTATAATACTGCATCCACTGCAACTGAATTGCTTAGCCTTCAAGCCAAGCCAGAAACAAGGGCCAGGCGGCTGCTCTCTGCGTCTCACCGCCTTAGCGGCTCAAGTACACAAAAAAGATCAAATTTGCGCAAGGAGTATGAGTATAAAGCAGCCTAACCTGAGGCAAAAAAAGAACAGCGTGTGTACTTCCAAACACCGAATGGCAGGACCTGACAGTCTGTTCCACCAGCTCAGCTAGGTGGCTTAACTATGGTTCATGGTAGATATAACTATACGTAGTTAATGGGGGGTTATAATGGTTTATAAACCAACAAACATCACTGTGGGGCCCCATCCTGTAAGTCCCTGATTTTTGTGGCTCATCATGTGCAAAACGGCAATGCTGATGGGGAGATCCAAGTATATCTCTTAGATGACTGGACAAACCCCATTCTTCGTATGTGCTATCACTACTAACCTCAGATACCCTGCAAAAGAGTGGAATATTAGCTATGTATAGTTTTTTTTCAGGAGAATGCAAAGCATGAACCCATTCTCACCAGCCTTACTCATTTTGTCCAGGCTCTTTCCAGAAACAGGAAAATGAAAGCTGCGAAGGCAGTGACTAAAACCTTGCAGACGCTTTCCTGTACTCGCCTGTCTGTGCCTTGTCCTATTCTTTTTTGCCTACTCAAAGTTTGCGTGATCTTTGCTTTCAAACAGACCAGCTGACCCGCAATCACAATGATAGTCCTGACATTGGTATCGCCTCTTTGTCGACACAACTCAGAGTCCATACGTGGCCCGGTCACACCCTCTGACCATCACTGACCCAACTCTCCCGGAAGAAAATCTTTGTCATCGAGTGAACGGGGAACTGAGGACAACATCTTTTTTGAATGCCTTGAGGGGTACCCTGGATGCTGGGACACAAAGCCAACGCTTCTTCAGCAGGAACAAGACTGTAGCAAAAGACACGTTTGTCTCTTGCTGCAAGTAATCTGTATCAGGATTCAGATTCAATCTGCACACGCATCTTCTAGTAGCTGACTTATTGTTGCATAGCCGGAAAAAGTCGGATGGCCTGAACGGTCCTGACAACAAACCTGATCGAATGTGTCTTTCCCATGGTACTTCAGAACATCCAGGCTGTGCTCCTGATATCGATGGATAAATGCTTCGTACTGCCCATGCACAGGAATTTGCTTGGACCGTCCCTGTTTGTTGAAGGTCCTTTTCGCCAAGCACCAAAAGAGAAGCTTGGTCCGTGGCATTTCACTCAAGATAAAATCAATACAGCGGGCAGAGTGACGTACAAGCAAGTCCGTGTTTTCTGGGGTGATTAGATTTCTGTCTACATTCCCAGCATAGAAGTCTGACCACAAAAACAGTTCTTCTGGAGAAGTTTTACCGCCCAGCGATCTAAGGCGCTCAATATCCTTATTCCCAAAAAAACAATTACTGACGCACCAAACTACCTGGTCGTAGGCACCATAAGCCCGCCGCAGAAGATGCAACGTGATCTGATTGTAAACAGGTAATGACGCCACTCCCAGGACGTGCTGCTGACCATTTGGCCCAAATTCCAGAATGTTCCCATCACCCACTTCCTGCCATGGGAAGCCCGCAGCCGTCAAGGCTTTCCTTTCAAAGTGCGAAGGTCCTAAGGCAAAAACTCTGGCGCCCTTCCTGGGTGCAACTTCCAATCCGTGGGCATAAAAATCCACCCAGCACTCCCTGCAACGCCACACTTCATCACTCAGCGGCCCTCGCCCGACATAACCAGGACTGAGGTCTGCTGTCTTGCCGCAGCTCACACACCTATAGCCCTGATGGACCGCATGCAGAATGCCCGTGGGCCAAAAAACCAAGCAGGGCAAGCAAACCACTGCCCAGAGAAGCGAGCGCCCGCAGCTGCATTGATGACCAACGCGGTAATGCTGCCGACATGGCATTTCTAGGTATGTAGAAATGCTTGAGCTCAAACTGCCGTTGGGGACCGCTTGTCGATGGGAGTAGTCAAGCACGTGTCAAGATTGGAATTCCTTCTACAGATTTCTACAGTAAGTCTCTACAGATGCAAAATGTGGCAAGAATCATGTCCTTAGGCGTCTCATCTTGCTGGCTCTACTGCAGGCTCATTCAGCGCTGGGGCTCCATACGGAGTCTGTCATTGCTGTGAAGGGCTGAGACCCTGGGAATGGAACATTTTCTTCAAAGTGCCTTAAATTTTGCCTGCCTCTAATATGTCTCTCTACTGTCTTTCTGACCTTCAGAACATAACCTGTCCGATAAGTCTTGTCTGGCGCTACCAGCTGGTGGTGCTTTTGAGTTTCAAACCAAGCTCTGTCTCTGGCTGACTGAAGTTCCTGCACAGCCAAGAGCACCAAGGGATCACCGGAATCAAATATTGATAAATATGGTATGAACGTTGAACGCAGTAGTTCAAACTCAATCCAATCCATGCCAGCCCAATTTCAGTTCTTGAATCAAACACAACCATGGTATGTCTGGCAACCTGGGCATTTTCATCTTGGCAACGTAGGAGTAAATTGCAGCTGCAAGCAATGCCTGGACCAACAAGATCTGTCGATGCAGACCAGTGCGAAATCTGCGAACACGGATGAAATCCGTTGCCCTTTGCCGCTTTGCCCTTCCAGCCCGTCTAAGGCGGCAGCAAAGAGAAGCCCCGCTATGACCACTTGTGTGCTTGGCATGTTGGCCTTCGGAGTGTCCTGGCATGGTGTTCAACCACCACAAGTGCAGAGGCATGTGTTGGTTTCATGTGCATCAGTAACGGTTTGGACGAGCATGTCTGTATGGGCACTTGTGTGCATGTCTCTACCCACTCGTGTAGCAACTGCCAATCCTCTACGGTAATCTACTTTCATCTGATTGACTGAAACGTTTCACACAACCTCTGAATTTGCAAAAACATTATGTTTATCAATCATGCTCAATCTCACAGACACAAAGATGTTCGTAGAGAGATAGAGAGAGAGAGAGCACTGCAACGCCGTATCTCTTTTGAATACAACCTTTTGAATACAACCAAGTCGTTTGTCATCTCGCATCTGGCAACCAATAGTTCCACATCTTTGTTTCACAACTGCCAACCTCTGGAAGCCGCAGATTTCCACCATGGGGAGGTATGAAGTCCTAGCAGCACAAGGAGACAGATCGCACTTTTCAACCCATATTTTCATATGATTCATATATTATATCAATATATATATATATCAATATGTTCGATCAAGGACATGGATGTATCGGGTGTAACTCATCGCCCTGATGGTGATTCAAACCTGGCATTGATCTCTTGGAGACTTCGAAAGCATTTGTTCAGTGAACTCTTCTTCCAATCTGTTAAAATCTTCTTTCAATCACTTGATCTGTGTGCTTCCATGCGTGCCTCCTTCGTGCGGTCTTGTTTGCTTGGGCCGAGCAACTTCGAGAAAGGTGCCTGGATGGGTATGGCCAACAAATGCCAACAACACTGGCATCGTTCACTACCCAACTGGCCCAACCGTCAGATAAAAGCAAAATGCAACCAAAGATCTGCAAATGATGCAAAGTTGCATTGAATTGTTGCGCCTCAACCTTTGCAGATACTTCTTCGCAGGGCAGCATCTCTCCTGACGACGAAGCCTCGAGTTCGGTAATATGCACAGTAGTATCTGAAATTCTGCTTGATGGCATCCAGAGCAATCAAACAAGCAGGCAGCATTTAGAAGGGTTCAGTAAACGCGGAAAGTTGAGACAGAATAAGATAATGTAATGATAAATGTGACCAGAACGTGCAAGCCCTGAGGTAGCGATAAGAATCAACTTTCTGGCCCTGCGAGCCATGAAGTCTGATTTGGAGTGCTGCATGTTGAGCATGTTGAGGCGACAACGCACTCACATCGACCTTTTGCCACATTGCAGCTCCCGGCCGGAGGGCAAGCCTGCACGATATATAGCACGACCCTGGGCATTCTGCAGTTCACTAAGCTCAGACAATCGTCCTGTCGTCCTGGCCTTTGGGCAAGCTATCGGTGCCAAGGAGCCAGAGCTTTCAGTGAAGTTGACCTGTGGCAAGGAGCAGGGTGCCGGTTAACCATGTTAACCTTCGTTAATACGTTATGCAATGGTTGTATTATATATATATATATCTATATGCTATAGTTATGCCATTGTAAACCAGGCTTCCACAAGGCTCGAGGCTCCATCCAACACCAAAGCCATGCATCAACAATTCATCCAAAGCGACTGCTGCTTCCGATGCGTATGGCGGTACACACTCGGACAAGTTTGGACTTCGGACTTCTATACAGTATCTTCTATTCAAGGGCTGTGAGACGCACATTTCCAGCAAAGTCTCACCAACCTTGAAAGCACGCCAAACTGATGCGCGGTATTCTCGAAGCTGCATCGCTGACCTTGACAGATCCAGTCACAAAAAGGAGAGATGGGCTCCTTGGGCGTTTATTTCAAGATATTTCAAGTTGAAGTTGAAGCTGATTTGACCAGCAACCGCTGCGACTGGAATCTTGAACTGGGGAGGCCCATTTTTACGCGCCTGCTTTTTCTTACGTTTTGAGGACCAAAAAGGGCTGGGAGAAAGACACTGCGTTGGAAGTGGATGCTGTCTCCTCCACAAGGAAAGAAGCCGCTCCACTCAAACCCATCACCTGGCGAATCTTGTGACCAGATCAGGTCAATGATGCTCAATGGCAAAATCCATGCAGCAGGGAACTTTGCTTCATGAACGTCTTGACCAAATGAGCCGTTCTAGTGACAAAAGTGTCCTAAAGCTCACCAGTCAAATCTGCCTCCGCATGCTTCTCGGAGTATGCTTTTGCTGCGGGCAAGGAGTACAAACCAGGTGCCTTGGCGAAAAAACAGAAACTTGACATAATTGGCACTGAGTCATCAGAGCAGGAAGCTGACGTCTCACATTTCGCCTGAGTTTCAAGCGTTCGCAAGGCAGCTGAAGGACAGAGAGTGCGTGCCAGCCTTTTACCAAAGGGCTCGCAAAGCTGGTGTCACTGAGCTTCCAGATTTACAGCCCGATTGCAAATGATTGCAGTGACTCTGCCATTGTGATGAAACGTGATTATCCATGTTCAAACATGATTGAAAAGCTCTGTGCTCTGCGCCCACAGCTACAAGTAAGAGACAAGCCCACAGAAATCCAGTGCGCCTTGGGAAGTTCGCAACAGGTGGCAAGTTGCCACATCTTTTGTTGTGACGTTCGTTCGATCTGGTTGTTCTGAGATAAAGCCTTACCTCCTGCAGGTTCCCAATTATTTTCCACGATTCAAATACCGAACAGGTCGTGATGGCAAAACTGCGCCGCAATTTGAGCAGTTCCTTTGGCAGAACGAACTCTCCAAATACCACAAGGATAGACAGCAAATGGGTTCAACGGATTCAAACTGTTTCAGATTCATGATGTTGAACCTTGTGTGTGCGCTCAGCAAAAGCTGAGTCCCAAGGCCACTTCACCGAATCATGACGGATCTCTCGGTCCCATAACCTACCAAGTCAGCAAATTCAAAGCTTGCCGATTTTCCTTGTGAAATTGACAGAATGTATGACTGTGGCAGTATTCTGTACATATATATATATATAATCATATATATATGTATATGTGTGTGTGTGTTTATATTTCATTTCGACGTGTCTACATATGTATATATTGTATAGAAGTGGATAAATCAATGTGTATAGACATATGTATATTTATATATGTGATACAAATATATATATACATATATATATACATATATATATATGTATATATATATATATGTATATAGTGTATATATATAACATATATATATAATTACACAGAAATGTGACTTTAAATTGGTTCTTCTTCAGGCTTCAGTTTCTCGCCTGCCAAAGAAAGGTCTGCCTCCAAACAGGCCTCCTCGCGTGCGACAAAACATCAGAGTCCGAGGCCATGCAAAAACGATGCTGAGATACATCCAGAGTGTAACTGTATGTTGGATGTTGGATGCTGTTTGCACATTGGTTAGCGTTCTTTAGTATACAGTGTCCTCCAATGTCATCTGGCATCTCTTCCAGCGCTTCATCGATAGGTTCCAAACCAGCAGGTACTGGGTCGATGACCTACATCAAAAAGGCCAAAAGCCAAGCACCCAATCAGGACCCAAGGTCT